TCCACCTCCTACCCTCTGCCAGCCACCGCTCGAGGCGCCAGGAGGACAAGACGGGGCGTCGGATGGGACCAGGGAGGACCAAGGTCCGGTCATCCACCGATTGAATGGTCCGAAGCCCAAAGACATCAGAAGAAAAACCACACAAGAAGACACTTGGTGGTTTGTCATCCACCACTGTCCGAAACCCTAACCCCTAACACCTTGGTCCGAAGCCCAAAGAACCAGTGTTCTTTGCGGGCGACCAAAACCTCGGAAACACCGAACTCGTCCTTTTTGGGGTCGAACCGAAGGCTATAGGATTGATGCTGCCGTTTCTTTGGTGTTCGATCTGGCGACGGAATGTGACGGAATGAGTTCCATTGGATCCCAAGTGGAGTCCCAGGAATCTCTTCGCCAACCGTTTTGAACCATTTCCGGAAGTGACATGCCACGCGTGGGGTGATCCAGGTCCGAGCACATAGTGACAGGGATCTTCCTTTCTCTTCTGACCTTCTCGGAGTGGCTTCCCACCATGTCCTCGTTCATGTGGCAATCCTTCTTTGGTTCTAATGTCCTTTGGCTGCGCAAACCGTGCGTGGGTACCGGGATCGCAGGACGGACGCGCATTTCGTTTCACGAGGTCGTAGGTACCGTGGTGGGTCGCCCATGAGATCTCTGCACGGATTGACTCGCTCGGATCGTGACAGCGCTGTTTCTGTTGAATCCGGCTGTGAGGACGAGTACCAGATGGACGCTTGGAATTCTATGGCGTGGCAGAGAGAAGTAACATGAAGCAACTGGATTCCATGATGTATTCATATACCCTCCTGGGCAGTCCAGTCGCGCCTATGTTGAAAGGGGTCTTTAGGTGATCCAAGTCCAGGAAATTCCCTTTCCCGAATGCGTACCGAAGGGTTCTCGTTCAACTTTGAGGGTCTGGGGGTATAGTCCTGTTTGCGAGGCGTTCTTGTAGCCACTGTTGGCAACCGTCCGTCGTAGGTCGCTATGGCGCTGACAGATACGTAACATGTTGAAGTGTGGAGGATGATTTTGCTGCACCGGTGCAGTGTTTTGTGAAATCCTCAGTTTCCTTCGCTGTGACAGTGGGATTGGCGCTCACAGGGTGGTATGCTGGAGGTGTTAGATGTCCCTGTGACAGCTACATCATGCTACATCACACCTGCCAGACTTGCGGTCTTTGACCATTTCCACCAATCGGGCGAATGTGCGCCTTGAAATCACCTTCCGATGCTAGCCAGCTTCCCAGAACAAGAAATTCAGGCGGCGCTCAAACAGAGCCGAAGTTGTCATAGGTTCTTGTTGGATGCTCCAAGAGTCTGCCAAGAGTTGGGAAAGCGCCCGCATGAAAACGCCGGGGGAAGACTCCTAAGCTTCGTCTTTTGGCGAGAAAACAGCTGATCACCAAACGAGTTTTTCCAGCGCCATGAGCACAAATTCACACCCTCAAGCATAAGGATCTCGCCTGAGGCAAGTTAACTCAATTGCACTTTCCGGACGGCATCGGTGACCATAGAAACTACTTTTGGAAGGATTCCTTTGCTAAGTGAATCTTTACAATACTATATATTCACCTTTTCACGAACAACTGCACAGTGGTTGGAACAATAGTTTTATATTCCTCCATGGGCGTGTTCGCACGGTTTCCTGATACTCCACCACGATTTCAGCCTCTCGAAGTGCGACATGACTTCGATTGGTCCAAGGAATTCCTGAACGACAGCCGTCACTACGTGACGGAGGGTCGGTCTCCTCAGACGTGAAGCCCACATCGCGCTGCAGTCTGCGGCGGGTCTTTCCTGGTGAGATTGCAACCGCTGATTGGACGTCATAGTAGGTGCAGTTGGAAGTTTGAGACATGTGACGTAGCATTGATCTGGAGTCCTGCGGTGAGTCTCCATGTGAGTTTCGGGCATCTAACATGAGGGCATCTGACCATCCAACAATAAAGTCAACTGTTCGTTGGATCCATAAATTCTCTTTTGCCCAACGTGTTTTCTATTGAATGGCCGTTACATGTTGTGTGTGGACAATGGAGGCCCAAAGCATTGGGAGATCGTTTCGACTTGATCCAAATCCCCAATCTCTCTTACCTTTCGCCACCGAAGTAGTTGAGTCCTCCTCTCGAATCCACTTCGAATCAATAAAAGACTTCATTGCAGAGGAAATACCTCTTCCTTCCCCCCTTTTGGTTCCCCAGCTGTGCACCGCACCTGCCGGTTCTGCAGCCGCTGAGGCTTCAACACCATCTCCCAGGACTCGGACCTCGGCACCAAAGTCGTGGTACTGCAGCGGGGCGCGGCCTTCGGAGAGCCCGGGCTGCCCAGCGGGCGTTCCGGGCGTTCAAGGTGACAGGGTCCCAAGCTCTATGAATTTGGGGGAAGACTATAGTGACTATAGTGGCCATAAGGTTTGTCGGTCTTTTTTTGGTGCATTCTGAGGCATTTGAGGCTAGGTAGGTGCCCATGAGCCGGCTCCAGGGCATCAACGGTGGGTTTTTGGGGTCGTTTGAGTTCAAGGTTTGGCACCAAAAGCAACAAGCACCAGGTCGTTCTCAATATGCAGCAGGGATTCCGGGAAGCCTGGCCTGTTCCCTCCTGATGTGCAATGTCTGCTCAACGTGTAGAAGAAACAGGATAAATAGTTGAGTTGTGTTGCTTCTCCTCGTGAAGTGCTCCATGTTCTTTTTCAAGAAGTCTAGAATATGACACCGATCCCTGTAAAAGTGAAAGTTTCCGAGAACAGTTGATCCAACAAAGAAATCCGTTGGATGAACTTCACCAAAAGATGACACACGGTGAAGTAGCTTCTTGTTACTAGTAGTGTCCTTGCTCCTAGTAGTAAGGCCAGGAGCCCCTAGTAGCGTCCTTGTTACTACTAGTAAGGCACTTGTTACTAGAAGCGATGCACTTGTTACTAGTAGCGCTCCTGCCAGGCTGGGCCTCATGGAGAGAAAACCGTTTGGGTGCCAAGCTTCGTTCGAATTGGATGTCGCTTCGTCCGAGGCACGCAGCGGTTCGAGAATCGATAGGAGATGGTGACGAAACCCGCAATAAAGAGTAGGAACAAAAGACTTTATGGCTCTGAGTTCCTGTTTCTTTGACAAAGGTGTTGGAATCTGTTATTTTTGCAGGGACAGTGAAGTTGAAAGCCTCATAGCTTTGGCAAAGAAACGGAAACTGGCACCCATCTTTCTCAACAGCCCTTGCGAGCTGAGAGCCCCTGCGTGGCATGCGTGCTGCTCCTTGCGCTCCTCGCCCATGATTTGTCGCAATTTTTTGATGAAAGCATGATTTCGATGTGCGCACAGGATGACTTTCAGTTTCCCATGCGTTGCATTTGCGACAGGGAAGTGATTTGGGACAGCTTGTTTGAGGTTTGCGTTTCACGACAACGAGTGTGAAGCTGGAGCGATTGAAGCCACTTCCGAGGTCCGCTGGGCTCAAGTGGCACAAAGCACAAATGGTCTCCAACGGCTCTGAGGTCGGACATTGGATGTTCTTCAAGTGCGTTTCGTATCACAAAAATCGCCCTCGAGAGTCCAAATCTTGAAACAAAGGTCGCAACGGATACGCCGATGAAGCGAGCACGCCAATTCGCCTGCAAACCAATCGAACCACAGGCAACTTGCTCGTCTCGTCCGTCAGGGAGGAATTTCGGAAAGACACGTGCAAAGCTTTGCGGCTTCCACTCCTCCAGCCGTTCCAAGCATCGCCCCTCGTGCTTTTCCGCGCTACCGACGCGCTCACGGCGTGAAGAACGCGCCAAACTCGTCGGTGGAAGAGTGGAGGCGAGGCGGGTCAAAAACCAAACTTGCACACAGGTGAAGCCGCCGTGGAAGGAGCCAAAGATGCAACGATTTGGTAAAAGCCGCTTCGGCACTTAAAACCCGGACGATGCCAGGGAGAGAGGCGCAGGTGCCTGATGGCAACTTCTTAGCTGACCTCAGTCGCGGACCTCGAAGATGAGTCAACAGGTAGTTTTCAACAGGGGACATGCTATGAAGGTGGGCCTGTGTTCATGTTATTTTGGTTGCGTCATTCTCACGATCCAGGCACACGATTCGATGGCTTGCAGATTTTGTGGGTTTCCATTGACAAGCTTGGAAATGTAACAGGCCAAAAGTCCTTCAGAAGGTCCACAACGCAGTGGCGACGTCGCAGAAGTTTGAATGAAATATCTGGCTTGGCTGGTAGAGAACTTGGTCCATCAGCCTTTTCACATGCTCGTCAGGCTCCCAAGATGTAGCGAAACACGGTGACCCACCTCCAAAAGCAGGTCTCCGCTGAGCAACTTGAATCTTTTCGTAAAACACCAACCCCAACTGCTTCGGTTCTTTGACCTTGCTTCCTTCACTGGGCCCATGAGGCGAAGGGCTTCGGTCTTCCGGCGATGTCTCGCCCGGCGAAGACGGCCGACGGACGATCCCCGAGGCGCGCTGCATCCATCCGCCCGAGAGCCAAGACGGTGGGAGAAGAAGAGAAGACCTAGTAGCGATGCCAGGAGCCCCGTTCGTAGCGTCCTTGTTACTAGTAGTAAGGCACTTGTTACTTGAAGCGATGCACCTGTTACTAGTAGCTTCTTGTTACCGAGCTTCACCGGTGATCCCGTCTGGTGTGAAAACGTGGTGATTGAGTGTTTTAGAAACAAGAAGCTAGTAGTAACAAGTGCCACGCTAGTAGTAACAGGTGCCTTACTAGTAGTAACAAGAAGCTATTAGAAACAAGAAGCTAGTAGTAGATTGAGAGAAGCTTGGATCTATGGGGCTTGCTTGCTTCAGATCTGGAATCTTTCTTTGGTAGCCAGACTCCAGAAAATATCCGTTGCTCAAGCACTTGCAACAGAAAGCATGTAAAGATAAGGCACTGCAAGGTTCTTGATAGAACATACTCCGGACACTGGCAGGGGCTAATTGAGTTGGTTCTCATGTTTCAAGCAGCGTAAAGTAGCGCATGATGTGAGTACTGTGAGTACACCAATGCGGCAGGGACATCCGGTCTCCCATGAAGGCAGACACCTTGGGCGTGGAGTGTGCGAGCGACGGCGACGGCGACGGTCTGGAGATTGCGGTGGACGTCCTTGGGGATTGGCTCCTTGGACCGCGTGGGGTCGGAGCGAGGCACCTGGCCGTACTGGTTCGTTGTGTTTGTCGCTGGTTCTTCACGGGACGGTCAGCTCAGGTGTCATCCGACCAATATCAGATGGGTTCCACAGTGTTCCACCTTGTTCCACTATAGATGCGTCATGCGAAAACCAAGGGGGAACACTGTGGGTCGGGCCTTAGGGGTCCAGTTGGCGAGTTTACCCACGAATGTGCGTCCTCAGCCCCGGTGGGTTCCCCGATCGTCGTTGGGCGCAAGTCGTTGAGGCTCTCCAAGATGGAATTGACCGATGAGAACTTCCTCCGAGCCGCCCCAGCACATCACGTGGTGGCCTGTGGTGGCCGCAGATTGAAAGGGAAGGCTCGGACAGACTACTCACACAGCCGGGCAGTGAAGGAGATCGGTAAATTCATCTCCCATAGCTGGCAAGCATCAGCGGGGTCAAAGTACTGGACTTTGCTAATTTTTTACAACGGTGCAGCGGCAGTGGTGTTGGGAACCTTGGTCGCGACCGCTGCGATGATCTTCTACAAGTTTGATTTCCTACCAGGTTGGATGAGAGAGTCGCCGGATCGTCCAGAGCCAAGATATTTGGGTCCATGGTGCTTGACCCTTGGGACCCTCACACTTCTGCTGGTGCTCCTTCTTCGACGCCCGCAAGATCAAGTCTTTTTTTGATCGGCTTTGCATCAACCAGTATGATGCAAGAGAGAAGACTCTAGGGATTATGAGCTTAGGTGCCTGCCTCAAGCACTCCAAGAAGTTGATGATACTTTGGGATGAAACCCTGTGTCAAAGGCTCTGGTGTGTTTTCGAATTGGCTGCATTTCTTAAAACCCACGAAAACGGTGACTTGCTGATACAGCCCTTCGACCTCACTCATTTCCTTTGCTGGAGATTTCTGGTCAACACGCTGGTTTATGGCGGTGGCCTTGTCGTCCCATATTCCAAAAACTTGAACGAGAATGTCGCCACTGTGTTGATGTTCGTTCTTGGAACCTGTGCTCAAGGATGGCTCATGGCCACGATCTTGCGCCGTTTCTCTCAGGGCGTTGAAACCATGCAGAAGCAGTTGGCGAGCTTCACAGTGGCAGGGGCTCAATGCTATTGCTGCTTCGTCAATCACCGGACACCCGATGGAGACATACCGTGCGACCGCCAAGTCCTGCAAAAGTGTATCCGGCATTGGTTTGGCTCGGTGGAGGAATTTGAGAAAGTGGTGCAGACCCGGGTGAGGGATGCTGCCAGATTGAATACCTAGAACCCATTTGTTTTTGCTGTTATATGTCGATTTTTCGTATTTCCCAGGTTGACATATCTTGACCCCTTTCGCCCAACCAGAGAGAGGCCTTCAATAAGCATTTGGGCAGACACTTCTGTCCACTCCCTTGGTTGTTTGCGGGCGAAGTCACCATCCTCTGGCAACAGATGGACCGGGCCGCTTCCAGACTGCACGAAGAGGATACACGCGGAGCACTGGGCCGTTTGATTCTGGGTTTCAGCTTTCTATTTCTGTCCAACCCACTGGGCTTTGGCGCGGTCACCTTGTTTCTCCGATACAAGCCCTGTGATGGCCTTGTTCTCAAGCTGCTGGTCATGGCACTTTGTATGTCTTTGGTCTTTGGGATTCATTGGCTTTTTGAAGCATGCCATGATTATGCTGGAGAACTATGGGGATCCGTGATCTTTGCAGGAGCCCTTCTGCTGCCCAGCATCATCCTCTGGCGCGCCTCTGCTCACGGTTGAGCAAAGAATCCCATCCAACTCTCAGCGTTGGCACCGTTTCATCATGCGTGCACCACACCTTTTTTCCACGGTCTCTCCAAGTGGTTCTTGGGTCTTTTCGGACATCCCAAAGCCCCGACCGTCCGGGCCTTTTCAGAGGCCGCTGGGCTGGGCTCCAGTGGTTCTTGGACTCACCAGGCGACGTCCACGGACACGTGAACGATCACTCCCTGCGTCAGGAGCTGCTTGAGCCCGTCCGGCCGACGGGTCCAAAAGTGGCCGAGGGGGCGCGGAGATCGCGGGGAAGGAGGGGGGCGGCGAAGGAGAGGTGCCCGAAGAAGTGTCCCCAGAATGTCAGACATTTGCAAAGCATGTTGGAGGAATGTTCCAGTGGTTCATGTTTGCGTCATATTCGGAATGTCTGCAGTGGCACCCAAATTCTCACCACTTCGACAAGGGGGAAGGAAATGACGAAGTTGACCCAGAAGTGGATGGAATGTTGCCATGTGTTCGGACCTTGGGCGCCCATTTTGGATGGCGGTACGCTGGGCGCTCGTGCGGTACGCGGAGTGGATAGTTCACGATCACCTTCGGGTCCTTCTTCTTCCTTCGGATCCTCGGAGTCAGACGCGAAGACACGCTGTGACCCTGTCCATATGCTGAAGAGCAGGGTCCGAAGACGCGAGCGCTTGGGTTGGTTCTGGACCCGTTCCCGGGTCCAGTCCAAAACCGCCCGGGAACACGCAGCCATGGCGACTGAGGTTGCGAATCCAAGTGCACCTTTCTGGTCATCAGGCGCTTCGACACGGGGCGCTTCGACATCGGCGGTTTGAGTCTTCATTTCGGAGGCGTTTTTCGTCCACTCCTTCGGACTCCGTTCGGTTCCCCGAAGGAAGAGTTTCCAGCGATGGCTTCGAGGGGGGTGGACAGGTTGGAGCAGCTGAAAGGCAGACCGGGTTTACCCCGGTCGGTCTGTGGAAACCACGGGTGGACAAGAGAGGACACGCACCCAAAGTTGGCGGAGAACCCACAATTCTTCTCTATGCTAGGCTAGCAATGCTAGGGAAGATAGGGAAGCAGCACTGTATTTTCGTTCAAAGCAAAGGTCACAATTGCAATCTTGGTACATTTCGAAGAGCATTCTTTTCCTGCGATGCGAGCCTTGATTTCTGTCATTTCTCTCGCAACTGCCCAATCACTGAGAGTAGGAACCAGCCACTGGCATGGTCAAAGACATGGCCATCTAGACATCAAGACAAGATAAATGGTGTTCCAAGTAAGACAAAACCAAGATGGCAGACCTAGATGAGGCCCGCCTTTTTCGGTTACCTGGGTCGCAACGAAGACATTTTGCAGGCGCAGCGCCTTTCAGAAGTGGTTCTCCGAAAGTATCAGCGCGGACGTCTACAGGCGGAACGATGGAAGACCCGCTGTTGACGAGGATGGAGATGTTGATCCATGCACCAAAAAGATTTGAAAGTGACATATCTTGACATGGCATGGAAATCCTCCAGTGAAAATGGGGCGGACGAAAAAAAGGTTGGTGTCCTGTCGTGTCGTTGCAACGCAGCAGACGGATCCAGAGAAACTGGGCACATGACCGGCCCTAGGGCCGGCTTGGATGCAGAAGGTCTGTCCAATGTGCATTTGAAGAATCTTATATATACCCAAGACACCCAAGCTACTTAGTAACAGGTGCCTTACTAGTAGTAACAAGTGCCTTACTACTAGTAACAAGAAGCTACTAGTTAATTTAATTCTAATAGCAAACATTGTTACTAGTAGTAAGGCACTTGTTACTACTAGTAAGGCACCTCTTACTAGTAGTAAAATGAGTGTCGCTTTGTGAAACTCAACCAATTCCTGTCGCTTGATGTAGTTTTAGTCGTCTTCTGGAAAAACTGCCGCTCCATGGGTTTGCCTGCCACTTTGGACCTTCAGTAGTGCGACAAAAAGTGTGCAAACAAATTGCACCGTTTCAGTGCCGTTTTGGCGGTTTTGCGCCGTCTCGTTTCTTGTGTTTCTTTTGGGTGATGTGTCACTGTTGGTCATTTATGGTCATTTCCCCCATTCTATCCAAAATCCATAAAGTGCTGCACTACAGAAGTTTCCGCCGCCTGCCCCAGCAACTAAGTTTTGTTTGAAACAACCAAAACAATACATACAATGGAAGATGTAGGTATGGACAAAGGTTTAATGTGGCTCAGCAAATTTGCTTGGAAGAGTTGAGTCAATCTGCTGAGTCAGTGCTTTCGAACGGGTCATCGTATTCCTAACTACTTTCTTTAGGTCACATAACCTAGAACTTAAGGCTTGGTACCAGATTGCAGGAAATGCTTCAGCCTTGCTACTTTTTGCATCCATCGAGGCCTGCTCTGCTTGTCTTTTCGGGATGTATTCCAGCAGAGCAGAATTCTTTCGCCGGTCTGTGTTCAGGCCCTTGTTCGACTCATTTCCCATGTCTTTCCACTCTTTCAAGCTGGCAAAATCAAGACGTCCCACATTCTAACCGGTGGACAATCCCAGTTTTCTGCACCGATCCAGCAAGTCGTTCTGACGAAACCGGTTCATTGGGTTCTTGTTTACAGGAAAAGGATGTACTTCATCGCCAAGATCCCCGGCTTTTCCAATGAGACTTTGAGGCGAAAGCACCTCCGGTGGATGGGAGGTGGCCTCCGGAAAAATCGGAAAGAGCCGACTTCTACGAGTCAAAAAGCTCATCTACTACCGTCATCCTACCTGGTGACTGTGGGACCTGACACACCATGTGACACAGGTCTCTGACCCTTAGTAGCTATTTGCTACTAGTAGTAATGCCTTTTTGTTACGAGTAGCTTCTTGTTTGTAGTAATGCCAGGAGCTACGTTCGTAGCTTCTTGCTACCCAACAGCACCGCTCTTCTTGGCCCGGAAGCACCTCCCGCCGACCTCCAGGAACAATCCCAAGACCGTGCAAAGCTCCACCAGCGGCATCAGCAACAGGTCCGAGCCCAGGCGCAGTGTGTGTGTGCACTTGTTCCTAGCATATAAGCTACTGGGAACAAGTGCATCGCTACTAGTAACAAGTGCCTTACTACTAATAACAAGATGCTAATTAATTCTTGTTTCTTCTAGCTTCTTGTTACTACTAGTAAGGCCCTTGCTCCTAGTAGCGATGCACTTGTTCCTAGTAGCTTATTGTTTCTAATAGAAGTAGGAGAAGATTTTGAGTGAGGTGCGAGGAACATAGGGCCTCCAAAAAAGAATGGAATGAGAGGCAACCCTTTCAGGATCTTGAGTTCTCTCCAGTCCATCGTGAGAAAAGAAGCATCCCCACTTGGCGAAGCAAAACTAACACCGAAAAGGAGACGCTGCGAAAACACAAAGTGTGCGAAGCGCAAACGCGAAGCCTGCCCTTATTATTAGTGGCCTCCAACCTAATAGCTTCTTGCTACTAGCTTCTTGCTACTAGTAGTAATGCCCTTGTTACTAGCTCATGGTTTGTCGCTGCGCCGGAGGGAGGGCGCCAAGATGGAGCACGCGGTGGATCTCTTCAAGGCGGCTGGAAAAAACGCGAGACGGTCGAGCACTGGGGTGCGACGGCGATGGGGCGCAGGCGTCGTTGGGTGTAGGGTGTCACATGGTGTGTTCGTTGTGTTCAATTAGCTTCTTGTTACTACTAGTAAGGCACCTGTTACTACTAGTAAGGCACTTGTTTCTAATAGCTTCTTGTTACTACTAGTAAGGCACTTGCTCCTAGTAGCGATGCACTTGTTCCTAGTAGCGTCCTAGTGTTTGTGGGTTTCTCCGGATAGACTGGTTGGGTGGAGAGGTCCCCCTTCAAGATCCAAGATCTTGTCAGAAGTCAGAAGCCGAGGGAATTCCGGTGATGCCATGAGTTTTGCCGTGCAAAATACAACTGATGATCATTGTAGATCGCTCCCCACCCAGCAAGATGAACATTTGACCCAGCCCATGGAGATGGGCACTCTGGAGAGAGAGAGAGAGAGAGAGACAAACAAAGTTCACACCTTGAACGTTCAAACGAATGTTGACAGGAGTTCCAACAGCAGGACTTCTTGTTACTACTAGTAACAAGTGCCTCGCTAGTAGTAACAAGTGCCTTACTACTAGTAACAATGTTTGCTGATAGAATTAACTTAACTACTAGCTTCTTGTTGCTCTCACCACGTTCCCAAACGACCCCCAAACGACCCGCTTCGCCTCGGTTCCCTTTTTCAGGAGATGGAATGTCAAGAAGGGTCCGGGAGCCCGGTTTCAGCGCAGCGGAGGAGTGACGGAGTCGTCGGACCATGGGAGCCAAGTGATATAGCAACCATCATTTGTTTGAAGTACATATATAGATCTCTTTTTGGCAAGACCTGTTTGGACCTGTTTTCAGAAATATCCCGACTTTCGATTGGTTCGGCTTGAACGTTGCGGGGTTTGGATTCCAAGACGGACCCAAGCTAACTAGGGACTCTGAACCTCCTTTGCCTCTTCTAAAGGAACGAATTTTCAGATGGGGCTGTGCCAGACCGAGACCAGCGTTTAAGAACAGCAAACCAAACCGAATCCAAAGGGATCAAATCGGTGGTGGGAGAGCACCTGAAGATTAGAGGGAAACCCGCCACAAAGCCGCCTGAAGCAGATGTGGTTCGATCGACTTCCCGACTTCGAGGCAAGTGCTCCTCAAAGAAGGCGTCATCGAGGTGCGAGAGACGACCGGTCGACCGGTCGACCGCCGGACGCACCACAGGTGAGTTCGGTGTTTGGGTGGCACCACCGAAAGACGGAACGAAGGAAGACCGGGGAGGGCCACTCTGTCCGAAGTTCCGGCAAACGCCCGTGGTACCGACGTTTGACTGTGAGTTCGCAGCATGTGTCGACATTTGAGGTCGACCACGAAAAAGATCACTCAATTTCTCGGCTAGGCATTGACCACCTGCCAACAATGAGCACACCCTCAAAATGATTTTGTTCATGCTCGGGATACGCTGTGGGAAAGTTTATGACTGGTGTAAAGAAGTTCTGGAAGCCCTT